TGTTACAGTTCCTGTCCATATTAAACAATTATTATTGTGTACTGGCACTGAATTTAAAGAAATTTTCCTAGAGAGGCTTTCAAAAAAATCTTCCATTTTAACTTTCATATGGAGTAGGAATACATTTCTGCAAATAATAATAGGTGTCATCTCCAATTTTTACCATCCCTGTGAATTTATGGCCAAAAAAAAATTAATTTAAATTTTTTTAAAAAAAAATTATTTAAATTTTTTAATTTAAAAAAAAATTAATTCTAATTATATTTTCTAATTTTTAAAGTCAATATACACAATGTGTGAAAATTTCATGTGTCTATCATTATTAATAAAAAAATTATATCAATTTAAAGTTTAGTCAGTAATGCCCTGACAGGCCATAGAACACAATTAATTTGACTATATATTCTCTACATTCGTTTGTCAGTACTGAACTCTCCCCTGTGTGACAATCAATACAAATCATATATTAATCTAAAATACCTTCAAAGATGACTTCACCCTTAAGTTCTCGTCAAGGGTTGACCTGCATTTTTTTGAGAGGCTGAATTGTAAACAAAACACCATGCAATGGAACACTGATTTCACTTCCGGTTCATCACCAAGGCCTTGTCACTCACTGAGCACTGCCGCGGCAATACACACAGACAACCACACCATAAGCTCACATTCTAAAGATTAAACAATTACCTTTAAAACCCTACCAAAAATGCATCAATAAAACTCTTCTATCACCAACATAATGTGAGAGCAAAAAATGTTCTAAAAATAGATAAGAACTACATTCGTGGGTACTGAACTGGAAGTACTAACTGTGTACCGATTCCAACCGGCTGATGTCTAAGACAGCCTAGAGTTGTCCTTATCAACCCATTGGGTTATCGTTCTTATTTGTCAGAGAGGCTACCAAGTTAAGTAATATAACCAGCTGATGTCTAAGACAGCCTAGAGTTGTTCAACAAATAATTGCAATTTTGTCAGCCAACAAATATGCCGTAAAGAAACATTGGCCATCAAGTTAGGAAAATAAATATACGATGGCGTGAAGCACATTTAATTCTTTGATATTTTTCTAATAATGCATATAGAGTGAGGACTAATTACGCTGCCAAAGTCATATTATCGTTCCATGATTTTTTTTCTCTTTCTTTCACGCAGAAAAAGTGATCTGAATTAAATAGAGGGATTAAGAATCACACTATTGAGGCATGAGCATTTCTAGAAATTTACATGTGATCAACATATCAAGAGCAAAGTCTTCGAGGATATCCACCTGCGTGGTCGACCGAGAAGATAATTAAATCCGCATTAAAACTTCTCTTAGTCCATAGTAAATTTATAAGTAAATGTACGAAGGCATTTGTTGCAATTCAAATCATATTGAAAAGTGTCACTACTCCCCACAGAATAGGCAAGGTCAATACGTTGAAATTATCAGGACAACGTGACACGTGAAGTGTGGTCAAGGATTTATTTTCTTGATATTAATGAACCAGATTAATTTCAAAAGGGTAAAGGTCAAATTACCGCTCATATTAAAGAACACATGATACAGCACATATGGTTAGAAACGTTTGATGTATTGAGTGGAAGAAAACAATACGTATTTATTTGCAAAAAAATTATTGCGGAGAAAATTTCCGGATTTGGACAAAAATCCCGTACAACCAAATAACTGCGAGAGTACAGGATAATGGAATATTAACAGATAAATTTGAAATACAAAGATCATTGAGGCAAGGATGTCCACTATCTATGCTGGTATATGTAATAGCGATTGAAATTCTAAGTTTAAAAATAAGAAATAACAAATTCATAGAAGGAATAAAATTACCATATTTGAAAGATGAAATTAAAATGCTCCAACATGCTGATGATTGCACCAACTTTATTAAAACATTTAGAAAAAGAGTATGGAAATTTTGGAAAAGCATCAAGATAAAAAAATTAACCATGATTAAAAGGAAATACTTAAATAGGTAACTGGAAAGGCAATCACCCTGGTATGCCCCTATATTACGTAAAACATAGAGTAAAGACCCTATGTATTTTTTGGAACAAATGAAGAGGAGGAGGAAAACTTTAAACAAATAAATGAAAAAATTAAAAAATGCACAGATATCTGGGCGCTAACGCCGTTATGTATAATGGAGCATGCACAAGTAGCCAAAACATATTTATATTCCAATATGAATTATATTCTTAAATCAAATGACTTAGATAATAAAAAGTTGGAGAAAATAGATATAGCTATCATTAAATACATATGGGGTTATGGAACCCACTACATTAGAATATATATATATATATATATATATATATATATATATATATATATATATATATATATATATATAGGTAAAATAATAGAAGAGGTCTAAATTTACCCAACCCGATTTTAATAAAGAATACTAATATTTTAAACCGTTTTAAAACTCTTAAATATCAACTCAATATGAATTGGAAGGCACTGTGTATATAGTTGTATGAGCTAATTATGAAACATAGACTAGATATTTATAAAAATAACAATTTAAGTAGACTATTAGATGTACCAAGGAAATTAAGATATGTAAAAATGCTAATGTTTAAATACAAAGAGGATAGGGAAATTCGGGAAATTAATAAGAAATATACATATGGGAAAATAAGAGATATAAGTACAAAAAATAACAGAAGTAAGATAGAAAATGAAATGGGGGGGGGTAAACTGGAGGGTAATATGGAAAAATTGGGGGAAAATAAACTCGTTAAAAATACAAAGTATAATCTTTAAATACTTGCACAATACATGGCTAACCGGAGAAGTCTCCCTAAGAAGACACATGATAAAGGAAATACCTAAATGTCCAAAAGGTAAAAAATATAACTTTACTAAAATGCATGTAATAACTGACTGTGAAAAATTAAAAGTATAAAGGAATGCTATAATCACAGAAATTACAAAAACGGAGAATTTTAGGAAAAACATGATTTTATATTTAGACGGAAATTTTAAAAATGATACTTATATGAAAATAATTGAATATATTATATATATTATGAAAAAGTGTGGGAAAGTTATAACAATTAGGAAATGAAAGATTAACCAAACTAACAAATGTACTAATAATAACCTAATATCTATTATTTTTTCTTCATAGACAGGAATCTACACATGGAAGAAGTACGAGACAAGGACGTCGTAGGGCTATATCACATGGCGATACGCGAAGTGGGCAGGCCTGCGAAAGAGCCTCCGAAAACCCCATGTGTAGTAAACAAACAAAACTTTGGCAATCTTGAAATAACCCTAGAAATAACATTAGGGAAAATGCATGGTGTAACATATTTAATAAAAGAAATGTTTGCGCCTTGTACTGGAAAGTAATCCACTGCATCTAATAATTAAATATATAGTACCTATATAAAGGGAGAGACGTTACACTACGCAAAGTCAGTTAAAACATTGTTTTTTGAAATATATATCTCACCCTAAAAAAGTCCAAAAATTCAAAATTCCATAAATTAATTAATAATATAAATGAAATAAAAAAATATTTTTTATTCAGTATATGTGTGTATATTATATATTAATGAAGTGACAATATATACACATATACTATAAGTTTTGTTTCTAGGAAAACTGGGGAATGATTTGGATATAGCGACTGTCCTCACAAATATACTATATAGCCAAATACAATATAACACAATACATATAGCATACATAGGACGTAGGGGTCCTTAGCCAATGTCACATGAATATGAACAAGGGGAACGACCCCGATAGGGCAAATGAAACCCTATCGGATGAGTGAACCTTTAGATACACCAGGAATAAATACCCCATCAAAAATTGAGAACATAATAAATTTTTTGATCAAAATTCTTTTTATAAAGTTTAACATAGCAACACATCAGGGTGAAAACTAAAATACATGAAACACTTTACTATTTGGGGTTTTTTTTTTTCGATTAAGTGTGGAATTTCTGTCTGGTCCCCCCTTGAAGTATTTATTGCAATGAACTTTAGTGGATAGTAGAGTAAATATATTCGTTCTTTAAAAATAAACAATGCAAATACCAAACATATAAAGGTAAAAATTCACATCAGAAAAGAAAAATTACCATTATTTCATCTTGTAAGAGAATATTGCATAGAATTCGAACAACTGTCTATATAGTATATTCAATGTTAACAGTAATGAACCAGTCTTGTATCTGAAGTGAGACATTCTCATCAAAAAGCGTTACAAATAAAACAGTGAACTTTTTAACAAAACATAAATTAGAGAATTAGCTTTTAAAATGACATATTTTATCATGTTTGATTTGTTCCAATAAACCCTATTTTAAATACTTCTTCCTACTCTTTAAAGACCTACCCCAAAAACCGCTCCGGTGGACTAGTGGTTAGAGCGTCCGCTTCGGATGCGGGAGGTCGTGGGTTCCATCCCCGGTCGATTCATACCAAAGAATTACAAAAATGGTACTAACAGCTGCCTCGCTTGACGCTCAACATTAAGAGGTTAGTGTTAGGACTGTTCGGCCTGGTGTCAGGATAATGTGACTGGGTGGGACATCATGCTACATGTCTGCGGCATGATGCCCCAGTGCTAGACATCACTATATTCTGACACACTGCAGACATCGTAGCGATATGACTAAAAAATTGTTGAAGCATAAACACCACATCACCACTCACCAACCCCGAAAATTCCGTTCATCTTGATCTGAAAAAGAAATGTACGTACTCTATTTGGTCTATTGCATAGTAGAGATTGAATTTCTAATTTATGTGGTTACACTTTCATTTAATTACTTAAATCTATATATTCAGATAATAATTCATACAGATATGAACCACAGTGTCAAATTAGCAAAATTATGTAAAACCATATGTCCCTGGATGAATTCGCTGAACTAGCATGCGATTGTTTTAAATATGAGCTATTCCGTCTATGAGGACATCCGAAATTCAGATGTTGAAGATATTGTTACCAAATTGTACATTACGCGTTGACCTCTCCGGTGGCCTAGTGGTTAGAGCGTCCGCCTCGGATGCGGGATATCGTGGGTTCGATACCAGGCTGAGTCATACCAAAGACTTACAAAAATGCCATTAACAGCTGCCTCGCTTGGCGCTCAGAATTAAGAGGTTAGTGTTAGGACTGGTCAGCCAGGTGTCATGATAATGTGACTGGGTAGGACATCATGTTTTATGTCTGCGGCATATTGCCCCGTGCTGGACATCACTTTACACTGCCACACTGGAGATATCGTAGAGATATGACTGAAAAATTGTTAAAGCTACTTTAAAAATCTAAATCTCTTTCTTACCCACACACTATATAAGCGTTGTTTAGTCCATGTTCTCATATCTATTATTTACTCATATTTAGAGTAAATCAAATCATTCATAAAAGAACGGTTCCTTTTGTTTTCATCCATTCTAAAGTACTAGTTGTTAATTGACAGCGTAAGTGACTGTACCTGATTTACTTTTCTTATCTAACAATTTAAACAATTTGGAAGTAAGTACCTTACTTGTTATTACAATACAGACCCTATTTGTTACCGATTACGATACCCGCTCTACGTGTTCTGGACTACAATACACACAATATTTGTCATGGATTATAATACATACAATATTAGTTACGGGTTAAAATATATACAATATTTGTTATGTATATTTTTGTGCATACAATATTGGCTATGGATTAGATTATATACAATGTTTATTACTCTCTTTCATATATATATATATATATATATATATATATATATATATATATATATATATATATATATATATATATATATATATATATATATATATAACGTTTATGAATAAATATAGACAAACACCTTTATTAAAATTGTTATTATGTATAAGCACATTTGAAAAAAAATAACTAAATACTTATTGGCGTGATTCCTCTCAAAATTCATCATCCGATTGATCCCCTAGTTCAAAAAAAAAAGAAAGTTTTATATGTATTTGTATTGTGTCAAAGTGTTTATGCTTGTGTTTTCCTTTTTACAATTTTTGATTTTATAATTTCCTATTAGGGTTTAAACGTATTCTTAAACTAGGGTAAGAAAAGATCTATTTTCCGTGCTGGTGCCAAAGCTCATTTATACATTTTAGTGATCCTTGCCAGGGATCCGTCTTGCCCTATGTATGCAATACGAGTGTGTTGTTTGATGTGTCGGTCTTTATGTTTTTGTAAGGGCTAACTTGATAGGTCAAATTCTCTTAGTCTCTTTAATCTTATTGGTTCCTTTGATTCAGGAGACCGGTTGTGAAATAAGATCGATATTAAGACCATTATTGCTTTTAGTGCATAGATAGGTGATATAAAAGTTATGTACGAATGAAGACCCCACAGGCATATACATGCTGAGCAATTTCGTATTTATAATAACGAATTGTTTTCATTACTGAGTTAATAAAAATTATAAGGTCATTATATAAATTTCTTATCATTAATACCATTTGTAAATAGAAGTGCAATTTCATTTGTTTCATATTTTTGTTGAATTTTATTTTTGATATTTTGCCTTTCCATATTATTTCGTTGGCATTCTAAAATTAAGTGACTTTTAGAGTCAATATGTGCTCCACACAATCTACATTTAGGTATTTGTTTCGTCAGGTGTCTGATGAAGGCTACTTCACCTGTCAACCATTTATTATGTATATAGAAAAATAACCTACTTTGAATTGCAGGCGAAGTTATGCCTGCCCATTTTCTCCAGATTGAATCCCAGTTTACACCAGGGTTTCTTACTTCTACTTCCTGTTGTTCTTTGATATATGGTTCCATTAGACATGTATAAATATCTTTTTTTCCATATCCCTAAGTTCTTTATTGTTTCTGCATCTGCTTATAAGTTCTTCAATTCTTCTAAAATATCCTGGCGGTTCTAATAATTTACTAAGTGAGTTATTTGTAAAAATATTCTTATTATATTTACATAAATAATAATATAGATATGTATTAATTGCTTCCCATTGATATTTGGGAGGTTTAAACCCTTCCCTTAGCCTTGGTTCTGCATACATATCTTTTTCCTAAGTAATGAATTTGTTTTCCCAAAGAAAGCTCAATATTTTCCTTTCTATGTTTCCTATCATGGCGTTTGTTAAGTGAGTAGAATTCATAATGTAATTTAATTGACTATATAGGTAAGTCTTGGCGACTTGTATGCGGTCCATTAAGTTTAGCTTGACATGCAACCAAGTTTCGATTTGTACGTCGAGTTTTGATATTAGCTCACTATAGTTTTTTTGAGTTCAGTCCGAAAACAATTTCCAATGCTTTTACATGATTTTTGATCAAATTTGGTGGGAGTTCTGTTTGATATCCCAGCCAGTCTCCTATTAATAAAATTTATATTTTACTGTGATTTATTGCTGATCCAGAGACTTTCACACATTTTGTGAATTCGTCCTATAGATGTTTGAAAGAGTATCCGTCTCTAGTAAAGTTCGTACAATCGTCTGCATGTAGTATAATTTTGAAATCGTCTTTCATATTCGCTATTTTGATTCCTTGAATATTAGTGTCATTTTTTAATGTTTATGTTCAAGGCTTCAATGGCAATTACATATATAGTAAAATCGATAGAGAGCAGCCCTGTCTTACTGAGCGTTGAAGCATAAATTCAGAGCTTTGCCCGGGCCATTTTTCAAACTGTAAATCCTTGACTTAACTCTGTCGTAAACGACTGTGCAAAAGTTATGTTCGGTTATTCTGTCGTCATGTATAAACTAAATAAATTAGAAAAACATTTGATGTGTGTTCAAAAGTTTATTATAAATCAAGCTATTTAATAAAAATTATTATAACATTATGGTGGGCATTATACTTATAAGCATAAAATAAATAAGTATTATAAATAATTGATCATAATTATATTCAGAATGAATTTTTAAATGGTCTTTCATTGTTTACAAATTATTAAACCTATTTTAATGATAATAGTTTATACTTTCACTAATTAATTTATTTAGTAAATTAAAATAATATAAAATATTATTAAGTAAAATTGTAAACAGGGGACATAATTCAAAAATTTGTATTTTTTATTATTAATGACTGTCATATAGTGTTTTAGAATTTAGACCTATTGGATATATCGTAATAAAATGGTGAATCCAATAGGTCTCCTTTAACATTATTTTGAGGCGAAACCGGTCACACGTTCTTCTAGTTGTTGGTGTAGCTCGATCGATTGACATATAGGTAGATAAAATATGTTATGGATTGCGAAACATACTATTCTTTAAAAAGCACAACAAATAATATTTGTTACGGATTATAATAATCACCACACTTGTTAAGATACTTGTTAAGGATTACAATGAAGACTTCTTTACATGTAAATGAATTATGGTTATGTAATGGATTGCATATGTAAAAGTATGTGCAAAATAAAGTAAAGAAGGACATTAAAGTATACAACCGTTCTTTAAAATGTTTCATAAAGGTTATCATAATTCCATCATGGCGTAATTGGTTTTAATCACTGCGCATTTATTAGATTATTAAATTATTTAAGGCAAATTATTATAACATTGATTATGAATATTCAAGAGTAACTAATGACAAAGTAGAATATGACTTGGAAATATATTTGTAAAGTGTGGTAATGGAGTAATGGAACAGATAAGTAATTTGCCGTCACTTGTTACTTGCAACATAAGTAGCGTCTGCAATAGCCTCATGCTTCCCTTTCTCTCAAAGACTTACCTTCCTTTGGCAGTAATTTTGATAATAATGTTTAGAAAAACATATAAATTATTTATCAATTGAGCTAGAAATATAATTATAACAGTACTCATTTCGTTCGTTATGATAAATTATCAACATTGGGATGGACTACGTTGCTGCTAAGCGAGGTAAGTTTACATACAAAAGGGAGTTATCTGGTACAAGTATGGTGGGTCATTTCTAATTGTACGATAAAATTTATTTTTGTGATTCCTTTCAACATAAATCAGTTTGCAGGATATGCTTTATGCACTTGCATGGAAAGTCATTAATTCTAAACAAGATCGTCTAAAGCAGAGATTCTTCAACTGTATTACTCTGACCACCGGTGGTCTGTTAGCACCATTCAGGTGGTTAACGGAAACGTTCGCAATAGTTAGCTAACATTTAAAACATTTTTTTAAAAAAAATATTACGTGGTCCACCGAGAACATCAGCAATATTTAAGTTGTCAGCGAAAATAATTTTATAATCACTATTGTAAGAATAAAAATGCTTACAATAAATTAATAAAAAGTGCTGGGTCAGTCCTGACATAATTTTCTTTAAAACTGTACTTCTAGTGAAACGATTTTGCCAAAAAGCCTCTGGGCAAGCGTAGTAGCTTGACTATTGATGCTACATTGTAATAAAGTACTTCTCTTTTATGAAAATATTTAAAGATGGAATTCACCTTTGAATCCATTTGATTTTATTACATGTCTTTTTTTCAAAATGATAGGTAATATTATTAACTATATACATGAAAGATGAAAAGGTTAATTTACATGTTAAGTATTTATATTTTTAATTATTACCATCTAAATTAGAATTATATTAAATTTAGTTTGCTAATAGGGATACCATAATAGAACGTCCCATTTAACATGCTTCAATAAGTCTATTAGTGGCGATTATAGACTCAACATAGTGCATTTGATGCAACGACTAAGCAATTTTATTGTAATATTTCGTTTCAATTCGTATAAATACGAAAAGGAAAAATGAGTTTTTAGTTTTTATAGTTGCACTCTCATAAATGGGTAGATAATCTGGAGTTTTAGTGCCTTAGTACAATAAATAGTGGACATTGTAGTTGACAGTACCCTTTGTACGAGCAAAGCATCAATAATCTTGTGCAAGTTCTCAATGACAGCATTACGGTCTTGCATGATTAGTTCTTTGCTTTAACGACACCATTACTTACATTTCTAATCTATTAGCTTTACAAATATAAGCATCTACGTTTCTGATAGAGGCTTGAAAAGTTAAAACCGAAAAGCTAAATTGAGCTTTTTTTTTCGAGTTAAGACAGTGAAAGTGATAACATTTCATT